TGAAGATCCTTTGAAGATCACATCTTGTACATTGTTTTTGAAGATTATTTTTGATCTACATTGTTAAAAGAGAAGATCACCGTGATTCTACATTCAAGGGGGAGAATGCTAGAAGATCTATCTCAACAGTTGATTGATTGAAGATTACATGTTGAAGATTTCTTTTGAAAGAAGACATATTGTGCATATTGTTTCAAAGTTCAAACAAGGACTCAAAGCGCAAAATTTTCTTTCAAGTCTGAATACAAAGGGGGAGAATGTTAGGAACTGAGAAATCAATATTAATTGTATTCGTCTTGAAAGTTTAAAAATAGTCTATAATTGTAAAAGTCATCGTGTTTGACTTTTCTTATAGAAGTTTGACTTTGACTTTGTTTAGTTAGTTTGACCATATAAATATGGTTAGTCTTTGTAATTAGATTAGAGGAGAGCATTATTGTAATATTCATACGTATTAAGAGAGTTGACTGATTTGTTGAGTTTGACTTTTCCTCTCAAAGTTCTTAATGTGTTCTTACAAGATATATCAAGATTCTGCCATGGTTATGAAGATATGAAGATTGATCAGTGTTAAATTTGGACTCCACAAAAGGAGGTGATTTCAAGTTGATTTCAAGTGTCAAGTTTCAAAAGGGTTGATTTCTAACGTTTTGGATTCAAATGCTTTATAAGGTGAGTGGTTTCTAAACCTTTTTGTATAAAAATTCTACTGGTTTTATTTGCATGCTTCGTATTGTTATTCTTTGGAAAGAAACCTTGATTATTTTGTCTAAGTGTTTATCCTGACAAGGCTTGAGAGGTTTATTGTCCGAATTAGTTTTAAACCTGACAAAACTTGAGAGGTTTATTGTCCGGATTAGTTTTAAACCTGACAAAGCTTGAGAAGTTTATTGTCCGGATTAGTTTTAAACCTGACAGCTTGAGAGGTTTATTGTCCGGATTAGTTTTAAACCTGACAAAGCTTGAGAGGTTTATTGTCCGGATTAGTTTTAAACCTGACAAAGCTTGAGAGGTTTATTGTCCGGATTGGTTTTAAACCTGACAAAGCTTGAGAGGTTTATTGTCCGGATTGGTTTTAAACCTGACAAAGCTTGAGAGGTTTATTGTCCGGATTCGTTTTAAACCTGACAAAGCTTGAGAGGTTTATTGTCCGGATTGTTGACCGGATTGTTGACCAGATTTGTTGACCAGATTTGTTGACCAGATTTGAGAT